TTAATGCACGTGTTTTGTACCATGAAACTGAATGAAGATATAGTTTTCCATGTTGTATTTATACTTTTTTTATATACTTATCACCATTTTCAAAAAGATAAAGTCCATATGAATTAAAATAAACCATTGATTGCCAGAGTTATAAAATTCAAAGCTGATGATGGAATAAAAGTGTAAAGATAAAGAGAAATATTCAAACTTGGATGACAGTGGTGGTGCATGCCATTAATTCCAATATTTGGGAGGCAAGGGCAGGTGGATCTTTAAGTGGAGGCCATCTTGGTGTGCAGAGTGAGTTCTAGGACAGCTAAGGATATAAAGAGAAATTCTGTATTGGAAAACCACCAAAAGAACGCAAAATTGCCTCGAATTAACTTGTGCTCTGTGATGCAAGTGATTACCTAGCATGCCTAAGAAGTGGGTTTGCTCACAAGCACTGCAAGAAAATAGAATTAAGACCTATTAACCAATAAGAAGTATAATAGCAACCAATTTGTTGTTGTTGCCATTGTTTTTTTTGTTGGTGGTGGTTTTTTTTTTTTTGGTTTTTTTTTTTTTTTGGTTTTTTGAGACAGAGTTTCTCTGTAGCTTTGGAGCCTGTCCTGGAACTTGTTCTCTAGACCAGACTGGCCTTGAACCCATAGAGCTCTGCCTGTCTATGCCTCCTGAGTGCTGGGATTAAAGGCATATGCTACCACTGCCTGACTAATCACAACCACTTTTTAAATAGAAAAAAACACAAGCAAGTATTTTGAGGAAATGGGTAAGCATATAGTCACTACAAGTTTTTAGAAAGAAATTATTTAGGTATAAAATGGGATAAATACTCCTCACTTATACAGATTAAATGCTGCTGCAATCAACAACTGTGTCCTGCTGTTCTGCTAAGGGGAACTAGGGCCCACCCACCCAAGCAAGAAGGCAAGGGAGTCAGAGAGTACAGCCTGTCCCCTCAATTTTTAAGTGGTCAGGTACGCAGACAAGATCGCAATCTAGGGCTTTCTATTCCAAAGGTATTGACTAAATGGATCAAAATCTCACAATAGTGCATGGTTAGAGAAATAGACTCCAAGAAATATTTCCCCATACATTTAAATAGCAAAATTAAGAAAGTTGACAATATTAAGTGATCATTAATTACATAAAATAGAAGAAAGTGTTCTGGTTTTTAAGTTATGTTCATTCTTCCTTTTAATGTCCTTATGTCAAAATAGAAACACACACACACACACACACACACACACACACACACACACACAACCTTTTAGTACATACAATGTTATGGGTAGCCCACCAGAAATGACCACTCAGACACAATTTTAACTAACTGAAAGCCTCTGTTCCAGCTTGCTGGAACTACATTTAGGTATTCGGGACCCAAGTGTAGCAATGAGTGTTTATGGTAAGTTTTTTTTTTTTAAACAAAAAAAAAACCCAAAAAACCTATCCTAATATCTTGCCCAGCAGCTTCAGGGTAGGAATGTAAGTGGGTGATAGGGGATGTCCTTCTGTATATGTGTTGCTTTTATGGTTGATGAATGAAGCAATTTTGGCCAATGGCTTAACAGAGTAAAGCCAAATAGGAAATTTGAACAGAGATGTATAGAAAGAGTAGGCAGAGTCAAGGAGACACCATGTGGGTGCCAAAGGAGAAAGCAACCAGAATATTACCGGTAAGCCACAGTCTTATGGCAACACGTGGGTTAATAGAAATGTGTTAATTTAAGATGTAAGAGCTAGCTAGAAATATTACTAAGCCATTGGCCAAATAGTGCTTTAATTAATATAGTTTCTATGTGATTGCTCAGGTCTGGGTGGCTGGGAAACAAAAGTGCAGTCTCTTTACAAATGGTGCCTCTGTGTGTTTCTTTGGAAATGAACACTTGCAGAACTGGGCAGAATAGAAACTTCCATTCACAGATGTGGGTTGCTACAAACACTCAGATTAACAGAAGCTAAGGTAAGTAGTTAGCTGGAAGGGAAGGTTGGTACAAGCAGGCAGTTTAGCAGGTGGTAAGTTAGCTAGGGCATCTTGACTCTGGGTTCCTAGAATAGAGTTGAGTAATTTTTCACAGGATTTGTCATCAAGGAGATTAAATTCTAGTCATCTCTTGTGGGCTTTCAGTAATATGCTGGAGACCACACTAAGATCCAAACAGTCTGGATCCCAACAATTAGGGACTCCCAGGAGCAGGAAAGCATACACCATCTGGAGAGGACTTTCAGAGGTGTGCAATCTGTGATATTCCAGAGACCCAGGAAAATCCATCTCTGACTGGATGGTATCATGTGCCCTGGAGACACCCCAATGTCACCATCCAAGAGGAATAAAAGGTATTGTTTGGTCTGTGTTGTGGGAATTCCTTCTGTCTATGTGTTGCTTTTATTGATTGATAAACAAAGAACTGGTTTGGCCTATAGCATGGGAGGAGGAGGGCGGAGTTAGAGAGAAGCCATGTAGCCCTGCCAGAAACAGACGCTGAAACTTTAGCTGGTAAGCCACAGCCTTGTGGCAATACACAGATTAATAGAAATGGGTTAAATTAATTTAAAAGTTATTCAATAAGAAGCTAGAACTAATGAGCCAAGCAGTAATTTTATTAATACAGTTTCTGTGTGAATATTTCAGTTCTAGATAGCTGGGCAGCCAGGAACCAACAAGCAGCCTCCCTTCTACAACAGATTGGTGGCAACATAGCAAACTAAAATCCACTTAAAAGTCTGAGAGAGCTTAATTCTATAAACAAAAATACAGAGTTTAACACAGCTTCTTGCTTCTTACTGGTGGCATGACATAGCTCCTTTAAGAGAGGTTTTCCTGATTCACTGGCCGTAGGAAAAGAGCCACACCATTTTGAAATACAGGCTTTCTGGACCATGCTGCCAGTGCAAACTCTGACTGTTTTGGGAGATGAAGCATTTAGATGGGACTTGTGAGCTGCGTGCTCTGGCTTGCTTAATGGTGACATGTACTGCCTGTGTGCCTGAGAATGGGGCTGTGCACATGGCTCTCAGAGGCACGAGGGGCTCCACCATGCTGGACTGGGCAGGCAAGCAAGTAGTACCATAGGCATGATAGTAATGGCACAGCTTAAATTTTAGACTGGGCAGGCAAATAGGAAGTACCATATATACAATAGTAATGGTGCAGCTTAAGTTTTAAGAAGCACTTAACATTTTAAAAAGTGCTCTTGGACAGTAAAGAATTACAGATATGCATTAAAGACAAATCCAGATGAGTCATAGTATTGAATAAATATATGCAGACTTGGAAGAGAGAAGAAAAAGAGTATAGAGAGTCATAAAATAAAGCTAATGCTTTTTTTATATAAAAAAAGATAAAGTCTTTAATGAGACAGAGTAAGATAGTCATAGACTAAAAGGAGTAAAGAAAAATAAGCCATGGAAAAATGGAAAATTCACAGAGTTTGGATTATGTATATTATTTGTTCTTTGTGATTTAATTAATACAATGATTTAATTAATACAATTTCTGTGTGATTATTTTGGGTCTAAGCTAGCTGGGCAGCTAGGAACCAACATGCAGCCTTCCTTCTACAACAGGTCTGAATATGTCCAGAGGTAAGTTTAACCTGTATGAGGTACCCAAATTATTTTGAGCCAGCCAGGTTGCCCAGAAAAACCCCAAACCTGTGACTGTTCTCTCAACCCTGCTGGAGGAAATTGACCTTCCTTACTCTTCCTGCTCCAGAGTGTTCAATTCTGGCTCCTGTGGTGGCTTGACTACTGCCTGCGGCTCTGTTCAATGTGTGGAAGTGGGGAGTGGTCTGGCTTCCCATCCAAGGGGGCCCCTGCCATCTAAGCAGAGGACATGCAGGAAAGGGTGAATAGTTCCCAGAGCTGCCCCGAGCTGCTAGTTGACTCCAAAGAAGGGGGAAGTCTTTCTTCTAATTGTGCCAAAGAGAAAAGCATAATTTCCAATTCCTTCCCTATTGATAGTCTATGTTGTCCTCTCTACTAGTGACTTGTACAATTGGAAGACCCCAAACCTACCCATTTTCAGAGAAGCTGCAGGCCCTTATCGGTCTGTTAGAAATTGTTTTATGGTAAAAGTTTCTGCTGCCAGGCCTGAGTACCTGATTTTGATCCCAGGGACTCAAATGATGTGCTGAAAGGACTGATTCCACCGAGTTGTTCTCTAACCTACGCACAAGTGCTGTGTATGCCCCACACAAAAATAAATATAAATTTTTTAAAAGATTCTAATGGACCGGTTAATGGTCCATGTTAGTCTTCTGCTGCCATTTTAAGAACTAACCACGCCCACCCCAGCCACTTTTGGACTTCCCCCGCAGCCATCTTCTCCCTCTCTCTCTCTGGGGTGTGTGTGTGTGTGTGTGTGTGTGTGTGTGTGTGTGTGTGTGTGTGT